CCCAGACAAAAACTACCATCACCGTATGCGTGGATAACGATTCGGGTAACCACACCGAAAACACAATCACCTGCTAGGAAATAATGAAAGTCCGGGGTGAGCTCCTCGCTCACAACCGGCTCGCGTGCAGCCACAAGGAAGGTGGTTGACGGCAGCGTTGAAGCTTCCGTGGGGGTGAAGGAGGTTACGCCCGCCAGGGCCAGGTAGTCGGCGCCTAGCAAGCTCCAGTTCAGCACCTAACGATATCACGGACGGTGTGTGTGCGTGTTTCTTGAATGAGCATAGACCGTTGAATGAAACCGGCATCGACCGCGCCAGCCGGTAGACCGATGACAACACGTCAGATGCATCATAGAGGGATGGAAGAACGCGAACATGTTTTCGAGTCACAACACTGTGGTGGGTGGGTTGTTCTCAAGGTATTTTAATCGAACGCACCAACTGGTAGACCGATGGTAAGATGCGCGACGACGCGAAACGTCCCGTGTCACGCGTGGTTGGGGTCGATATGGTACGATGGTACGATCAAGTTCCTTCGAAGTATGGTACAAGAACTTACCGCATGACCGAGAAGGAAAGCGAAGCTCCCCCTGCCCGGGAATTCAATTAATACACCCCCGTCCGACCCCCCCGCGCCCCCCCCGGTGTTTGCCATCGGGGTTGGGTTTTCGTCGCTTGGCAACGACGTTGTAAAACAAGCCGCCCCCCCCAGTGTTTGCCATCGGGATTGGGTTTTCGTCGCTTGGCAACGACGTTGTAAAACAAGCCAATTCACTTCGTGAGCTCGGCAACCAGGTTACCGTTTTTTTTTTTTACCTCCGTTTTTTTTTTGCGGTAACCATACTGGTGGTCGAGTAGATCATGTTGTGCGGGGTGGAGAACCCTCACTCCGCGCAAGGGGGATGATCGCACCACGTTGTGTTAAAATGGTCAAGCACCCTCGAGGCAGTTACACAGTGCTTACAACTGTCTCTGGAAGTGAAAGCACCAGAAAATGAATTAAGTCATACGCAGCTGTCATCCGTACGCAAGGAAGTAAGCACAAGATGCCGAACACCCTTAGCAGGATGCAGCGCACCCTTCATGCGACTCGCCGAATATCTCACGGCGCTTCGCGCTTGGTGATGTGAGAGCCTGGTCCGGTGAGAACCCGGCGTGCTCCGTCCCGGCTTTGTAGGGATGCGAGGTCAACGGTCTAACGACTACGGCATGCACGACTATGAGTATACCCCCCCGTCCGTCCGTCCGTTCGACCCCCCTCCGCCCGCCACCAATTCCAACGAATGACACAGAGTTTGTCAGTTACCTACGGCTTCGAGAAACCGCGATTAAAAACACCGGCTTGTCAGACGGATCGCATTCTAGAGCGGTGTGTCGTTCGGACTTAAACCTCATCAGGTTGATTGTGATTGAAAAAGTGCCGGACACGTAGACGAGTGAGGATAGCTGCATGGAAATAGCGTTGCTCACAACATGCACCAATCACAACAACAGGAGTGAGTGCATGCTTCATGCTCCCCTTCCTCCCCGTGAAAGCTAACACACACCTTGTCGGAGGTGAGCTCGCCGTCCGCGTAGGTTTCGCCCGCCTCTCCCTTCTCGAAGGACAGGCCGTAATGCTCGTTCATGCAGATGAACTCCGGCGGAGAGCCCTCCTCCAAGTGAACCAGCACGTCGGCTCCCGGGAAGGTCATCTGGGCAGGAAAGAACACAAAAAAAACAACGGCGCAACGCAGAATGTCGATCGAGTCTATATCTACCGCGGGGTTTGTTTTTTCTTGCCGCTGCCGCCGTCGCTGCCGCCGTAGACGGGAATAGTGTCGTCGCTTAGCTCCAACAGCGCTGGCCCAGGAGTCTCTTATACTGCTTTCGAGTGCTTGATAGGGCTTGGTTGTGATGAATGAGCGCTGCCATCCGTGCAGGTCGTCAGGCGGGGGTATTCGTTGGTGTTGTCAAATCTGTTTGAGAGTCGAGCCTACGCAAGGAACTGAATAAGCCCCTTGGACGAGAACGGTCGGGGCAGCGTAATCCCCCCCACAACAGAGACAACATGGTGCCATAACTACTGTTTGGGAATGGCAAAGAATTGCGCTGGTAGAGAAACTTTCTAGGCGTGAGGCTTCTCCGACAACATCAACAAAACCAAACCTCTGACGCTTTACCGTATCCTTCAGTCTCCTCAACTAACATTGGCCCTCGGCGTTTCATCAGACCTCGCGAAGCAGCAAACACTACACACCCTCACACGCCAGGACTTGTCCTCCAATCTCCAGCCGGTACGCTACACACCCACACCCCCTTCCCGAGCGGTCCAACTTATCCTCTCTCACCCGTGCCGTGTTTTTCCAGACATGATCCGACCACAGGTTTCGAAACTTGACATCGCGGCCTTCCTCCAGGAAGGTGATCCGCAGCTGGTCCAGCACCATCCTATCGTACGTCGCCTGCAGACAGGAGGAACCCCCCCCCCCC